AATGTACATTCGCTTGATATTAAATTAAATAATTGTTATAATGGCATAAAAATTTACATTCGTTTGATTTTAAATTAAGTTACATTTATGAATCTTCGGAAGATTGAGAGAAGAAGAAAACATCGTATCGCTTAAAGTATTTCGAAAATATAATTTGTTTGAGTATAGGCATTAATTTATTCTTACATTTTTTATTTTATTCTTGAATATTATTGTTTTACAATTGTTTCGTTTTATTACTGTCGTTATTACTGTCGTTTTTTTTACTGATCAAAAGAACATAATATATTAGAAAAAGTTGATGTGATTATCTGATAATATGTAAATGTTAAATTTCAGTAAATTAGAAAATATATGTGGATATATGTATTTACACATACATATGTATGGTATATGTTTATGCATATAAATATATATATATACATATATATGCATTGAATATTTTTATATACGTACATATTGTATTTTTAAAATATGTATGTACATATATGTATATTGTATTAATATGTTATATACATATATTTATTTAAATGCATTTAACATATGTATGTATAAATATTCAATATTTTTGTCAAAATTGTCATGAAATTATTTATATCGGGAACGATAGGGGAATTGTTAGGAAAACACCATTTCTTGTATATACCATATCATGATGTACGAAATAACGTTTATTTATATAATTATAAATAAAAAAACATATTTGGCTTTAAAAGCAAATGATATGCTTTGATGTATAAAATAAATTTTATGCCGTTATTACATTATTTAAAAATATGCTATACGTCAATATAAATATATTCAAGAGTAATATAACCCGAAATTAGTCCGACTTTGCGGACTTAGCTAATTTTCACAAACGCAGTTATCTACAAAAAACGACGTGGTATTAAGAAAATTTGAAAACATTATTTAAAAATATGCCATTATAACATTATTTAAAAATGTACTATACGCAGACAAAAATATATATTTGTGAGTAGTATAACCTGAGATTAATCCGACTTAATAGACTAACGATAAGCTAACTTTCACAAAAATATATTTACCAAAAACAAAGTAGTATTAACAGATTTGACGACATTATGCATAGATATGCTATACGCCGACACAAATATATTCGTGAGTAGTATAACTCGATATTAATCCGACTTAACAGATTAAGACAGATGTCTATACTAAACTAGATTACCAACTATTTGAATAGTATGACTTGCGTTGTATGAAGTTTCCGATTGTATGAGAGAAAATTGCGGCGATTCTGTGTGTCAAACTTGACATTTATGTGAGTTTTACATATAGTGTCTGTGTGTATCAGCGTGGCCATAAAATGTGCTATTGTTTTATTTCTTCTGACAGCAGTTTTTATGACAGCACTATTTATGACAATTTTATCGATCATGCTGACATATTCAAGACTGCCGCTATTTTCTCTCATACAACCGGAAACTTCATGCGACGCACGTCCGAAATTCATGTTAGCAATCTAGTTTATTATAGACGTCTGTAAATTAAATTAATTTTTACAAAAGTAGTTATCTACTAAAAACAATGTAGTATTAAAAAAATTTGACAATGTTATTTTAAAATATCAATACACCGACAAAAATATATATTTGTGAGTGGTATAACCTGAGATTAATCCGACTTAATGGACTAACAATAAGCTAATTTTCACAAAAATATATTTACCACAAACAAAGTAGTATTAACAGATTTGACGACATTATGTAAAAATATGCTATACGCCGACACAAATATACTTGTGAGTAGTATAACTCGATATTAATCCGACTTAATAGATTAAAACAGATGTCTATACTAAACTAGATTACCAACATGTCACTATTTGAATAGTATGACTTGCGTTGTATGAAGTTTCCGGTTGTATGAGAGAAAATGGCGACGATTTTGTGTGTCAAACTTGACATTTATGTAAGTTTTACATATAGTGTCTGTGTGTATCAGCGTGGCTATGAAATGTGCTATTGTTTTATTTCTTCTGACAGCAGTTTTTATGACAGCACTATTTATGACAACAATTTCATCGATCATGCTGACATTTATGTGAGTTTTACATATAGTGTCTGTGTGTATCAGCGTGGCCATAAAATGTGCTATTGTTTTATTTCTTCTGACAACAGTTTATATGACAGCACCATTTATGACAATTTCATCGGTCATGCTGACATATTCAATAATAATTTGTATAAAATAATAATTATAACACAAGAAAAACATTAGCGCTGTATATTTTAATTATCTATTTGTGAACCCGGAAATTAAAATTGTTTTATAATATAAAAAATTTTTATTCTTACTAGTGGATATTTTCTCAACTTCCTGCGCTCCATTTTAGGCTACATATATTGTGGCTGTATATATGATTAATTTGTATTTTTTCATGTATATTTTAAGTTGACTGAAAACTGAATAGAAAACTAAAAACTACTATGACGTTACAATAAAGGAAAACGCAAGAATAATTAGAATTAATAAAAAAAAATAAATCTATTTTTCATTTAAATTGCAAATTGCAACGAGGAAAAGAGCTCGGTCATTGAGAAATTTTATTTACTTCGTTTCCTACTTTACGCCATTCTGTTTAATTAGCTAATTTTTTTCTATATTTCTATCAAAGTAATGTTGTGTTATCGCAAGCGGAAAAATTACACTGCTTTAAAAACAACGTCATTTATCGAAAAAATGAGTAAATAATAATTATATTGATTGCGTAATGCTTCTTGATTATTGGTTCTCCACTCATCCGGGATTTGTATAAATAACAGTCAAAGATGGCATCGGTTAGTACAGTTAATAAGCTCTGAAACCTCACAACTGAAAATGGCTCTGAAATTGATGCTCGTGGTGTGCATGTTGGCCATCGCTGGGTTAATGATGATGTCTGTGGTCGAGGCTGAATGCCGTTAAACAGGATGTCACGCTCACTCAGCTAGCGACTGGTGTAACGTTTTAGGACCAGGATATCGTGTAAAGAAATGGGAACGTTGCAATGGCCTCCTAGGAAAAATGGAATATTGCTGTAAATAAAACGGCCATTTTATTCAATTAAAGGTAAAGAATATTGTTAATGCACGCAGAAAATTTTCTTTTAAAATTTACCCTGAAAATCATGGTAATCGCGGATAATATACGGGAGGTCCAGCAGACTCATGAAAAAAATTCCCTCATTTTTTCGAATTTTCTTAAATCAGAAATTAATTTTTTTCTTGATTTTTTAATATTATTTTTTCCAAATATATAATTGCATATATCTGTATGTGATAAATCAATTAAATGTTAAATTATGAAATCCTTGAAATATTTTTGTCAACAATGAAAAGATTCGGTAGGTTAAACAAAAATTTAAATTAATTATACAATCTAATTGTGTACAATAATCAAAACAAACATGTAACTATAATTTAAATAATCACTTTTTTTATTTATATTATATAAATTTTTTTAGTTTTGTCTCTATCAAACACATTAAAATAAAATAATACGACGATGATAAATATAAAAGACGATGATGAAGATATAAATTAACAAACACGCTGTAGATGATTTTTAACAAGACAAGAAATTAGAGTCCTTGAAATCAAGAAAAAGTTTAAATTTATTTAATAAAAAATTTCAAATTATTGAGACAAATGTAGAATAATGTGAAAATATCCAGATAAACAGTAAAATTTCCTGACTCTCCCTGACAATTCCAGATTTATAAAATTCTCTGACAATGCCCGGTTTTCCAGATTTCCCTGACCGTAGACACCTTGATATGATATTGGAAAAATTTTATGAGTTTTTATAATTAATATTTATTATAATATATGATATTAATATGTACATAGCAAATTTTACTATGTACATAATAAAATTAATTGAATATATTTTATACATTATTGTAGTAGATATTAATACTTAATAATAATATTCTAAATAATAATAATTATATTCTAAATATTAAAACTTTTATTGTGGTAAATATTAATCAGAGAAACTCTTATAAAATTCTTCCAGTCCCATATTGTCTCATAATTATCATGATTCTCAGGGTAAATTCTAAGAGAATTCTTTCTGTGTGGTATTTGACAAAGTTGTAATTATTTGTTAACAATACATTAATTTTAATTAATTATTTATATTTTTTTTATAGACAATGACTTCGTCATAGGCCTAAAATGTACACCCAAAAGTGTCCACCAATAAACGATTATTAAATACAGAACAAAACTTGGTTTTATTTTCTTTTAAACAATTCCAACATAAAAAATCATCGAACTCTAAATGAAGACTGTCTTTTTTCGAATACTTTACTAATTACTTTTTGTTAGATTACTATTCTAAAAATTTCGATTATTGTATTTTTCATCTAATTGTAAATAATGCCAAATTGAGCAAAATATATAGAAAATATAGTGGTAGAGTTTATTCTTCAAATAAACAATATTAATATTTTTTGTGAGAAATATTGAAATTGTTCGTCATTTATAATTGTATAAAATTTTATAATTTTGCAGTCAATTTATTGAATATAAAATAATCTAAAATATAAGTTCCAATAAATAAAAATTTATATATGCTGTTGTCAAGTTTTATATTTTGATGTAGGTATTATTTTAGCGTTTTAAATATATCTCAATAAATTAAATTTTAAAGTATTACTTCCTCACTTTTCATCGCAGAAAATAAATTTGAATAAACGTAAAAATTAGATAAAATATGTAGATTATAATTTCTTTTTGTTAAATATTTAATATTAAACAAACGTTCAATGTAGTCATTGAATAATTATTTTAAGATATATTTAGGTTTTTTTCACACATTTTTGCATTAATGAAAATGCGTCAAAATTTATATATTTATATTATATAGATATATGTAGCTCTAAATTAAAATAAAAAAATTTTAGACGAAGCAAATGTCCAAAGCATTAAGTCACATCTAATTTAAATTTTCGCGCACAAATTACATTCGGCAACAATATACGCATGCGTCACATAATATAAATATATATAAAAACGGCTACATAATATCGAGAACCAAACAGACAAAGCAAGCGTTTGCCACGATTTTGCTATTTTACAACCTAAAATGGAGCAGAAAGATGAAAAGAAGACAATTGGTGAGTCGAAAGATCGTTTACAAAATTGTGCAATTTTGATTCCGATTTTACAAACAGTTAAGAAAAATATCCAATGATATTAGTCTTTGTGCAATATTATTCTTTTAACATACTTTTCTTAGGTAATTTTATAAATTTCAACGTAATTTAGAGCACATTGCATAACAAGCCTCATAATTCATTAGATTCAAATTGAGCCGTGTACATTATTTCGAAAACTGATGGCATTCATATTTTATGGTACATTTTTGCGTATTAGGTATAGAAGAAATAAATGTAATTTTAATATACGACTTTTACTGCGTAGACGACAAAATTATATTTGAATAATTGTCAGACCTTTTTAAATAAATAAAATTATTACAGAATATATTTTTTTTACTGTTACGTATCACATATTACTATTAAATATAATCAATATTAAAATCACACAAGCTCGAATTTTGCATTTATTCTACTTGTAGAAAATGTGAGCAAAATATTTTTCTTAAAGTTTGTTATGTATTAACAAAGGTTAAAACGTATACATGTTAGTAAACATAAGTAATAATATATTTGCGAGTCTCTTTCTCTATTTTTCTTTCGATTATTTTTATATTGTTGATTATAATGTTTCTCGAGTTTAAAATTAAATTTATAATATCATAAATATGTTTTTATCTATGTATACATTTGCAAATTACTTTTAATACGTTACATTTCTTACTTATAACGCCGTTTTAATTTCAAATATTGTAATATATTATCTAATAATTAATTTATTAATCGTATTTTATCCTGACTTTCTATTTTCAATATTATATATCTTTCGTCAATTTTACTTTTTTTCTTTCATATTATTTTTTGTATCCTCTATCAGAAGAAATATTCACGGAGGCGCTTTTCAAGTTCTCAATCAATAGTCTACATAAATATGAGTTTAACAATTCGAAAGACAATTTTGCCTTTAGTCCATATAACTTATATAAAGGACTATTATTGGCTTATCTTACGTCCAGTGGTGTTATCGAAGAAAACTTAAAAGAAATCCTTTTTTTAACGGAAGTCTCGGAAAAATGTGACTTGATAGGTACTGTTAATTTTGATAAAAGCTTTGAAACGGAGATGACCGCAGAGGTAAATAATTTTGAAGCATTTTAGCATAAATTGATTAAAACAATATTGGAACAAAATTTAAACTTTTCATGACATTTTGTATTAATCACAAATAAATTTATTTATCAAAAAATGGAGAACTTCACAACTCTAAATAATTTATTAAGCAATAAAAGTAATAAAAAAAATATGTTTATGCAAAGTAGGTTCGAAACTTTGATACATTTTAAATCTTACGATAAATGAAATTCAGATAAAGTTTCTTATCGAGATATCTAATTTAGAATTATTTATATAAATTAATAATTTAAATTAAATAAGTAGACGCGGTTTTAGAATAAAAAACGTAACATAAAGATTCAGTGTACTTGAATAGAAATGTAAATAAAGCGATTTAGATACACGACAAATATATTTTATTTATAAATAATTTGGTATCTCACAAATGTTTGATGTCTTTTTATTTTAGAAAAATGCATCTGCATTTGCGGCTGAATGCGATTACGAGAGCAAAAGTATGTGTTTTATTGAAAAAAGTAAGCTTTCCGAAGACCCTTCAAAGATAAACAAAATTTTTAACGGTGGATTCGTAAACTTGGACGACGATACTAACGCAAATATAAATCGAATCAATGATGAAATACAATGTCAGACAAAGAACTTTCATAATCCGCAGAAATTAGGCGCGCTCAATGGAAATATGGATATTGCTTTGATGACCGTACTCCGTTTAAGCAAGCAAAAATATCTTTCAATCGGCTATCAATCTGATGCATCAAGTGCATCGACTAAACCTGATAAACGGATGTTTAAATGCAGTGAGTATTTTTTCATTACTCATGTTTATATTCATAATAAATCTATTTATAGTTAGATTTTTATAATTAATTAAGTAAAAAAATTCTGTCAACATATTATTTCAAGCACACCATTTTATTTCTATATCTGTTCTCGCAATAAACTAGTTTCCAAAGCTATATTGAATATTAAATATAACATTAAATATATAATATTAAATATTAAATATATAAATATTAAATATTAATTATATAATATATAAAATATCAAATATTAAATATAATATAAGAGTTTTAACAAGACTCTGAAATATAAATATAAATTTAACGTATAAGACGGGCAACAAGAGCCAAATCGCGGATGACAATGCGTTATCCTAACGAAACTAAATAATTTTTCCGTTAGAATTAAATACCGGTGCACAAGGCACCAAATTTTACTTGGACACGGCCAAGATTTTAAATATGAAATAATCTCATATTTGAGATTTAATTTCAATACCCCTTTAACCACCCTACGGAAAATAAATAAATGAATGCAAGAGAAAAATATAGATCCGAAATCCCGATTCAGCGATTTTCGGATCTATATTTTTCTCTTGCATTCATTTATTTATTTTCCGTAGGGAGGTTAAAAGGGGTATTGAAATTAAATCTCAAATATGAGATTATTTCATATTTAAAATCTTGGCCGTGTCCAAGTAAAATTTGGTGCCTTGTGCACCGGTATTTAATTCTAACGGGAAAATTATTTAGTTTCGTTTGGATAACGCATTGTCATCCGCGATTTGGCTCTTGTTGCCCGTCTTATACGTTAAATATTAAATATAATATTTAATATATAATATTATATAATAAATATAATATTTAATATATAATATTAATTATTAAATATAGTATTTAATATATATATATAAAGAAGATGCTATATCTGTTTTATCGATAAATATTATTTTTATTTAACTATTTTTTGGTTATATACGGAACGAAAAATTTTTTACTAAAATTAAAGTATCCATAATAACAAATCTTGACTAAATATGTACATAAAAAACCAAGAAAATTAAATAATTACAGTTTTCTTTCTCCTCTACATTTCCAATAATTTTTCTTTTCCAGGTTTCCATAAGAAATTACAAATGCTTGTAAGCGAGTTTCCCTACAAGAATGGAAATACATCGCTGTTTGTGTTAGCACCCTGTATCTTCGACACAGACGACAAGTGGAAAGTGACCCCTAACCACGTTGCCCTTTCCAATATGATCGATGTATTGTCGACCAAAAAGGAATGCTCAAATTGCGCAAAATATTGGATCATCAGACTTCATTAGGTAGTGTTAACAATTTTTCATATTGGCCGGTCTTCAGATTGGAGAAAAATTTCAATATACGCCAGCTGCTGCAAACGATAGACTGTCAACGATTATTGACGTCCGACGCCGTCAATCTGGACAATTCCTTCGCAAAAGATGGACACAAAGTGCACTTTGGCAACGTCGTGCACCATATTCACGTCACGGTCACAAAAAAATCCACCGTCGCGGGCGCGATGACTGTGATCACCGGACTAAGCTCCGTTCGGAACTTGAATGTAGTAGTCGACGTGCAATCCAAATATCCGTTTGTCTGGTTGATATATGACAAACAACATCGAAACATTCTTTTTATCGGCGTTTGCAATGAATTCAAATTTAGAAATTTGAATTCAAATTTAGAAATTTAGAATCAAATTCTGTTAAGATTTCGGTGCCATAAATCAATCATTAATAGCATAAAAATGTACATTCGCTTGATATTAAATTAAGTTATTGTTATAATGGCATAAAAATTTACAATCGTTTGATATTAAATTAAGTTACATTTATGAATTTTCGAAAAATTGAGACAAAAAGAAAACATCGTATCGCTTAAAGTATTTCGGAAATATGATTTGTTTGAGTATAGTCATTAATTTATTCTTACATTTTTTATTTTATTCTTGAATATTATTGTTTTACAATTACTTCGTTTTATTACGGTCGTTATTACTGTCGTTTTTTTTACTCATCAAAAGGACATATTATATTAGAAAAAGTCGATGTGATTATCTGATAATATGTAAATGTTAAATTTCAGTAAATCAGAAATTATATGTGCATATATGTATTAACACATGCATATGTATGGTATATGTGTTATGCATATATATATATATATATATATATATATATATATGCATTGAATATTTTTATTATATATACGTACATATTGTATTTTTAAAATATGTATGTACATATATGTATATTGTATTAATATGTTATATACATATATTTATTTAAATGCATTTATGTATGTATATATATTTAATATTTCTGTCATAAAATTGTCATAAAATTATTTATATCGGGAACGATAAAGAAATTGTTAAAAAAACACCATTTGTTGTCAAAATTTAATATTATATATTATTTACATAGTACAGCTTATACAATTAGTAGAAATATTATTTTTATAATGTGATAAATTATAACATATTATTTTTATATTGTAATAAGATATAAATACAATTGAATTGTCTTTTTCTACTTTATATATGTATAACCATATGCTTAACACTATGTTATTTCTAATTTTGCTGTAATATTGATATGGCATCATACTTTATTTTAAAATAATGAATCAAATGAACATCTTTTGTTTTTATGGTTACAATTATAACAGAATAGATAAATGTTTGATTCTTTTTTACTTGATATATGCTACATGCATATATAGGTGTCTATCTATTTTTTTATATTTTCATAATTATATCATGATGTACAAAATAACGTTTATTTATACAATTATAAATAAAAAAAAATATTAAGTTTTAAAAGCACACACACACAAATGATATGTTTTGATATAAAAAATTAATTTTATGCCGTTATGACATTATTTAAAAATATGCTATACGCCAATAAAAATTAATTCAAGAGTAGTATAATCCGAAATTAGTTCGATTTTGTGGATTAGCTAATTTTCACAAACGCAGTTATCTACAAAAAACGATGTGGTATTAAGAAAATTTAAAGACATTATTCAAAAATATGCCATTATGACATTATTTAAAAATGTACTATACGCAGACAAAAATATATATTTGTGAGTAATATAACCGGAGATTAATCCAACTTAATGGACTAACAATAAGCTAATTTTCACAAAAAATATTTATCAAAAACAAAGTAGTATTAACAGATTTGACAACATTATGTAAAAATATGCTATACGCCGACACAAATATATTCGTGAGTAGTATAACTCGATATTAATCCGACTTAATAGATTAAGACAGATGTCTATACTAAACTAGATTATCAACATGTCACTATTTGAATAGTATGACTTGCGTTGTATGAGATTTCCGGTTGTATGAGAGAAAATGGCGGCGATTTTGTGTGTAAACTTGACATTTATGTAAGTTTTACATACATATAGTGTCTGTGTGTATCAGCGTGGCCATGAAATGTGCTATTGTTTTATTTCTTCTGACAGCAGTTTATATGACAGCACTATTTATGACAACTATTTCATCGATCATGCTGATATATTCAAGACTGCCGCCATTTTCTCTCATACAACCGGAAACTTCATGCGATGCACGTCCGAAATCGATGTTAGCAATCTAGTTTATTATAGACGTTTGTGGATTAAGTTAATTTTCACGAAGGTAGTTATCTATTAAAAACGATGTACAATAGTATTAAGAAACTTTGACGATGTTATTTTAAAATATCAATACGCCGACAAAAATATATATTTGTGAGTAGTATAACCGGAGATTAATCCGATTTAATGGACTAACAATAAGCTAATTTTCACAAAAATATATTTACCACAAACAAAGTAGTATTAACAGATTTGACAACATTATGTAAAAATATGCTATACGCCGACACAAATGTATTCGTGAGTAGTATAACTTGAGATTCGTCCGACGTAATGTGAATTACGTTAATTTTTACGAAAATGGTTCTCTATTAAGAACAATGTAGTAATGGTATATTTTAATGACATTATTTAAAAATATACTCTATGCCGATATGACATTATTTAAAAATATATTATACGCCGACAAAATATATTTGTTAGTAGTATAAACTAAGATTATTCCAACTTAATGAACTAATCTAATTTGCAAGAAAGTAGTTACTTACAATAAATAATGTAATATTGAAAGATATGAGGACATTATGTAAAAATATGCTATACGCCGATAAAAATATATTCCTGAGTATTAAAACTCGAAATTAGTCCGATTCAATACTTTATCCTAATTTTACGAAAGTAATTATCTACCAAAAAACGATGTAGTATTTAGAGATTTAACGACATTATTTTAAAATATGCAATAGGCAGACAATAATATATTTATGAGTAGTACAGCCCGAGATTTGTCCGATTTAATATCTTAGTTAATTTTCACGAAAAGTTATCCTATAAGAACAATTTAGTTTTGAGAAATTTTAATGACATTTATTAATTAAACCGAGGTTAACGTAACATCACACTGGTGTTATTTAAAATCGAAAGTTAAAAGTTAAAAGAGAAACACGTCCCATCGTTATGATGTTGAAAGTTAAAAGTTAAAAAAGAAACACGTCCCATCGTTATGATGTTGAAAGTTAAAAGTTAAAAGAGGAACACGTCCTATCGTTATGATGTTTCTTCTGAAATCAAGAACAATTTAGTTTTGAGAAATTTTAATGACATTTAAAAATATATTTTATGCCTATATGACGTTATTTAAAAATATGCAATACGTCGACAAAAATATATTCGTGAGTAGTATAACCTGAAACTAATCCGAGTTAGTGGGTTAAGTTTATTTTCAGGTAAATAGTTATCTATCAAGAACAATGTAGTATTGAAAAATTTTGATGCATGATAAGATTTGATAGAGCAGTTTTCTTCTATAATGAGGGATGTAGTTAGAGAATGGTGTCAGATTTGAAAATTATACAAAAAACACTCAGACAAAAAAATTCACTACCAATGCAAACATTTCATGTAATAGCAGCGTTGATTATCATTAAGTGAGTAAGATTATAATTGTTAAATAATATAACAATCAAAACTGCTTAACTTTCCGATTTTCCTATTTTATGAACAAATTGAAAATTATAAAATTTGTCATTAGACGGGATGGGGGAAGATTTCGAAAAAATTTTAAATTTTGTAAAATTGAAGTACACAGGCATAAAGTGCATTAAAATCCGAGGTACTTCTGTTTCAAACATTTTTTTATTTTGTTTATGTGATATTCTCTTGAAAAAAAAAATTTAATTTTTTTATAAGGGTGAATCACCCTTTAAACCTTCGATTGGGCACGTATAAAAAAATACGTGTACCTTGAATTTGTGTACTTTATAACATAGTTTAAGAAAAATCAAAGCGGCGTCGGACACTTGTGATGGTTTCCTTGTTAGTAACTTTATATTAAATATAAATATATGTACTGCGATCTTCTTTTGCAGTTTGTTGTAAACAATAAAAATAAAAATTACGCGTTTTCGTAGTATAAAATTTTTTGTAGTTTAGTAACTTATTTAATTAATTTATTTAAATTTCGACCTAACTGGCCAGTACAATTTAATTAGAAACACTACGTTTCGACACTTAGGTACAAGTTCTTTTTAAGTGTAACTGCACAAAAAAAATATACAATGATTAAGATATGAAACAATAATTTACAAAGTTGTTAACGAAGAAATTTGAAATAATATAAAAATAATGTAATGTACCTTTCAAGATGTTGATTCGACAACAGTAAAATTACTAATGTTAAACAGGAGACAAGTAAATCAATTTAAGTCAAACGTTAAAAACACAATAATATTAAAGTTCGATAATACAACGAAATACATAAATAAATAAATAGACAATTATATACTGTAGACCAACTTATCATAAATCGGATTTAGATTTTCTGTGTCCTTTTGATAAAATATATATCTATACACTAAAAATATTTACTATGTACATAGTAAAATTAATTAAACATATTTTATATCTTATTGTAGTAGATATTATTATTTAATAATAATATTCTAAATAATAATAATTATATTCTAAGTATTAATATTTTTATTGTGGTAAATATTAATCAAAGAAACTTTTATAAAATTCTTCCAATAACATAAAGAATCGCGAAATTTGCTATATAATATAGTTACTATTGCATTAAAATATATTAAATTACCCAATAATAATTTGTTGAAAATAATATTTATAACACAAGAAAAACATTAGCGCTGTATATGTTAATTATCTATTTGTGAAGCCGGAAATTAAAATTGTTTCATAATATAAAAAATTTTTATTCTTACTAGTGCATATTTTCTCAACTTATAAAATTCTTCCAGTTCCATAAAAAATCGCGAGATTTGCTATATAATATAGTTACTATTGCATCAAAATATATTAAATTACCCAATAATAATTTGTTGAAAATAATAATTATAACACGAGAAAAACATTAGCGCTGTATATTTTAATTATCTGTTTGTGAAGCCGGAATTTAAAATTGTTTCATAATATAAAAATATTTATTCTTACTAGTGGATATTTTCTCAACTTCCTGCGCTCCATTTTAGGCTACATATATTGTGGCTGTATATATGATTAATTTGTATTTTTTCATGTATATTTTAAGTTGACTGGAAACTAAATAGAAAACTAAAAACTACTTAGACGTTACAATAAAGGAAAACGAAAGAATAATTAGAATTAATAAAAAAAATGAATCTATGTTTCATTTAAATTGCAAATTACAACGAGGAAAAGAGCTTGGTCATTGGAGAATTTTATTTACTTCGTTTTATACTTTACGCCATTCAGTTTAATTAACTAATTTTTTTTCTATATTTCTCTCGAAGTAATATTGTGTTATCGCAAGCGGAAAAATTACACTGCTTTAAAAACAACGTCATTTATCGAGAAAATGAGTAAATAATAATTATATTAATTGCGTTATGCTTCTCGATTATTGGTTCTCCACTCATCCGAAATTTGTATAAATAACAGTCAAAGATGGCATCGGTTAGTA